ACATACAGTATATATATATATATATATATATATATACATACAGTATATATACTGTAAATATATATCTACATACAATATGTATGTGTGTGTGTGTGTGCGCGCGCGTGTGTGAAAACTGGCCACATCTATCATTTAAGAAAATGACTGGGGTGTCCAAATAATATTATATGGTGGCCAAGGCCACCATTGACCACCCCCTGCCATTATGCCTGGTGGTTGATAATATTGTCCCCTCCACTCGGCAGGATCCGTCACTTTGCACCACCTTGGACAAAAATAAATAAATAAATCTACCTCTTAATATTCTCCACAGTGTAACTCCACCCACTTGAACATCTTGCATCAAAACATCAAGGTTTACTTTCAATTCCTGTTCAATTCCTGTCCAAAAATTCAATTCAATTCATTTCAAAAATACTTTATATTACACTATTGCAAATACACTCTCTACAAACATTCACTGCTCAAATCTCTCAGTGGCGGGAAACATCAGACTACTGCTTGTTAAGTTGGACGTTAGCTACATCATACTGAGCTTTCCTTTTTATTGTAGTTCTCTGTGTCTTGTGTGTATCAGGCTTCCAGAGGGTGAACTGAAGGTGGACGAAGCCTTTCTGTTCATTCAGTCAAAGATATGCGAGTCCCTGGCAGGAAGCAGCTACAATGCACATTGTGAACGCCTCAACACACCATACACACCTCAGCTAACAGGTACACGCACATACACACAAACACACACATACACACAACATAAAGATCTAAAGTCAGGCTCAATTTATTGTTGAAGTTTTCTCTTCACACTGAGGAAAGGAACTGATCGCTGAAACCAAACATAGGACAAGCTGTTGGTGTGAGTAGTTCAAAATAAAAAAAATCTAAATTGTTTTCATAATTAAAATCTTCTCTAATCACGACTTTATCTCACTGCAAGTTAGTGGGTTTTTTTTTGGGGGGGGGATAAAAATCATTAAATGTATAAAACCTAAACTGAGTGAAAACTATAAATTAAACCTATTCAGCTAAATTTGAAAATGATCTGACTCATTTAAACATTAAAGTTTTCTAAGTGACATATTGTACACCTGAGACAGGGCTCCAAAGTGCACTGTTTCAGTGTTCACTGTGTTAAGTTCCTAAGCGTGTTTCAGCACGACGCTATTAATTGTTGCATAGTCGTGCAGCACGCGTAACATTAGCAACCTAGCAGGCAACGAACAAGCCATCTCGTTGTGGTCTCCTGTTTGGGAACATTATGGCTTTCTTGTTAAAACTCAACAATTGGAAAAAAACAAGTGAACAAATCCAAAGCTGTGTGTCAACATTGTTTCACAGAGAGTGGTTCTGCAGCAGGCAACACGTCTAAATCCAAACGTGAATGTCTCTTCTAGCTGCTTGGTACAAAGACCGATAACAGCAGCATTTAAACAACCTTTATCAGGTAATTCAGATCAGTTCAAAGCAATAACACAAGCTGTAGGAGTTTTTAAAGCTCTGTATCTACGTCCGTATTCCGTTGTTTATGTGCCGGCTTTAAGCAAACTTAAAATTAAATTAAACTTCTTGAGCCCCGCTACGACATCTCATCACGTCAACACTTCAGCCAAAAAGTTGTACCAGCACTTCATGAAAAAGCTCAAACGGATCAACAAGCCTTGGAGCACAGATTTAAAGCCCTGCCCTGATGATGATGAGCAAGAGATTCAACCACCTCATAACAGAAATGATGACCGTGCAAGAAGAGGTATTGTTAATTGTATTATTATGATCTAATTAACTTTTTAAATTTAAAATGATCATCTTATTTAACTCAGCATTTTTTTTAACCTTTTTGTGTTGTTTGCAGTCTGAGGATGTCATCGAGAAGCAGCTGTCTTCTTCATCTTCAGGGAAATCATCCACCAGATCACCTCCAGCTACAAAGTCTGTGATGACTGAACTCTTTGAACTTTTCCAGGGACAGGTGGGAAGTAGCAAGTCCCTTTTGAAGCAGGTCCAAGAAGAGGTTGTGAGTACAGAGCTTCAAGGTGCCCTTCCCTTGAAGCTGACTCTTCTTTGGTGGAAAGACAATGAGGACAAATACAGCCACACTCTATTCCTGCTACTTCTGCTGCTAATGAGTGGGTTATCTCCACAGCTGGAGATAATGTCACTGCAACTTTTGGCAGAAAATGTAGATAAGTTGGTCTTTTTGGCCAAAAAATTAAAACTTGACTAGTTAGATTGTAAACGGTTTGTTGCTGCTTATTGTTCTGGTTCTGACTGTTATCGTATTTATTAAGATTTTCATTATTGTTAGTATAGTTTATTTATTGTAAAGCGTGCCGTTTATTTAAAATATCATTCAAATGGGTCGCTTTTATTTATTTTTATACAAATGTATTGTTTGCTTGGCATAGTTTCAAAATAAACGTTTTTGTAAGTCTTTATTTTGGCCTTTTTTGTACCAAAAATTAACCGAACCGAGTCCTCCTTGAAACTGAACCAAACCGAAATGTGATTTTTAGCGTACCGTTACACCCCTAATCGCTACCATACAAGTCAGAAAACAATTCCATTCAGTTATTTTATAGAACATCAAGGCATAACATATACAGTCTCAACGCACTGTACAAACATATTCACATACAGTACATTAAAAAAGCCAGTAGTAAAAGTTCTCTATCTAAGGAAGTCAGCAGAATGTGATGAATCTTCACTTCGTCACAGTTTCCCATCCTGAGCAAGCACAAAGGTAATGGTGGAAAGGAAAAATTCCATTTAACAGGAAGAAACATCCAGTAGAACCAAGCTCAGGACGAGCAGTGGTCTACTTCAACTGGCTGGGGCTTGAGAGGACAGAAAGGAGAAACAGACAAACACAGAATGGCAGGTCCATATGTACTTTCTATAGGAAGAAACACACAAAAAAAAAAAACACATAATGTATAGAAATGATTACAAATATAAACGGGTAGAGCAGAGCAAGTAAAGGCAGCAGCAGAGTGAAGAAATGTGGTCAGTTTGTCTTCCAGCATTCTAAGCCTATAACAGCATAACTAAGGGATAGCTGAGGAAACCCAAGCCAACCGTAACTATAGGATTTATCAAAAAGGAAAGTCTTAAGCCCAGTCTTAAAACTGGACAATGTGTCAGCCTCATGGACAGAAACTGGAAGTTTGTTCCACAAGAGAGGAGCCTGATAACTGAAAGATCTTCCTCCCATTCTGCTTTTGGTAACTCTAGGAACCACAAGTAAACCTGCAGTCTGAGAGTGAAGTGCTTTGTTAGGAAAATAAGGAAAAATAAACAATCTGTAATATAAGATGGAGCTACGTTGTTGAGAGTTTTGTAGTATAGAAGTAAGATTTTGAATTAAATTCTGAATTTGACAGGGAACCAATGGAGAGAAGCTAAAACTGGAAAGATATGGTCTCTCCTATCAACTCTCATTAAAACTCTGACAGCAGCATTTTGGATTAAATGAAAACTTTTTAAAGAAATTTTTGGACACCCAGATAATAAGCAACTGCAATGGTCCAGCCTAGATGTGAAAAACGCATGGACTAGTTTTTCTGCATCATTTTTGGACAAGATATTTCTAATCCTAGTGATATTATGCAGGTGGAAGAAAGAAGTTCCGTTAACTTTTTTAATATGGGGGTTAAAATACAAAACCTGATCAAAAATAACACCAAGGCTTTTTTTGTCAAATTTAATACCATCCAGAGGAAGTGAAATAAATAAATTAAATGATCAATTATTATTATTATTATTATTATTATTATTAATTTAATAATATAAAATATAATAATATAATAATTATTATATTATCAATAAAATTATCAATAAATTTGATTTGACTTGCTCCTTGTGAGCAGCGCAAACAGCCTTCTGCTCTTTGCCATTTATTGTGTGTTGTGTTAGTGCAAAAAAACATTTGACTGCAGCCACCTGTAGGGTGCAAGTGTGATTTCCCACCTGTGGAGTATTCTCCATCTCTGCATGAGTTCCCACTAAAATCTACACTCTGAAACCTGGATTCAGAAACCTTCGGTTTCAGAGAGAACGAGGGCTTCTGTTGTTCACACAGCGGCTGAGCCACAGTAAAAAAAGCTACAGTTGCACTCAAAAGTGACGTAGCGTAAACAGGGCTTAATTCATACCTTCATACATGTGACTACAACATCCATGTGAGCCAAGAAAACAAAGACTCTAACGATCCTCAGAAGGGAGTGGAGCAAGATTAATCTCCATGAATTTAGCTGGCTAAAATAAGCATCTCGTGCAGTTTATAGCTTGGAATTTCACCCTCCAGTTCTGAATTGAGAAAGCTCTTCAGATGGAAAGTGAAATGGCTTCAACTACAGAACAAGAGTCCAGTTGTTTTGTTTTAGTTGTTTTGTTTTGTTAAAACTATTTTGGTATTGCTGTTGCCTGGATTACTGAGAATCTACATTAGCATATTGCTACCATAAATCATAACACACTGAGTTTCACATTTTAATGTGTTGTTTATGTTTACTCAAAGCTGAATGGAAACAAACTTGTCAAGCTGTATTGCTTAAAAAACACTGATATTCATATACTGATGATATTTATTTATCCAGGTAGTCTCATTGAGCCACAAGAACTCATTTTCAAGGGAGATCTGTTTAGGGAGCAGATGGGGGTTCAGGGCCTTGCTCAAGGGCCCAGAGTGGGGCGAATGAGGGTGGGGGCAGGTGTGGGTGCTTTACCTACCCAACCCACGTTTTTGATGTTGTTGGTACCGGGGCTTGAACCGACGATCTTCCGATCACTGGCCCACCTTCTCTAACCTCTGCGTCACCACTCCCCCGATATGTTGTAAATAATGAGGGGCTGAGGGCAGGTCCTTGTGGAACTCCTGCACTTCATAATTCCGTTCTCAGATGTGAATTTCTCCCGAGAGCTGTTTCCACATCAGTGGCACAAAACACTTTTGTCTTCACCAAGACAAGTCTCCCATTTTCAGACCATTTTGAACAAATATTCTCATAGCAATAAACCCAGTGGGCCTACTTTTTGTAGTTCTCTCACCCTGGCTGTGTTTCAGATGAAGACCGTCTGTCCAGGAGGACGAGCATTGCAGACACCATCTCTCTGCAGATAGACTCAGGCCTTCATTGCAGTTCTGACCCACCTCAGGTGTGTTTCTGTCAGTCAGCAGGTCTGTTTGTAAATCTGACCCATGTGTCTACTCATGTTCCTGTCTATGTTCTCCAGAAACCTCAGACTGAGCAGATCACCTTTGAGACACTGAAGAACGCCATCAGTAAGCAGCTAGTTCCTCTTTGTTTCACATGCAAATTGGTTTTATTTCAGATATTTAAAAAAAAAATGCTTTTTTATTTCAGAGGACAAAGGACCTGTAGAGGAGGAGGAGAGGAGGAGGAGGATGCAGGTGGTAGAGAGGTTTCAGACAGCTCCTTTTGAAGAGATAGCAGCTGTCTGTGGGTCCCGGGTGAGACAGTTACTGTTCTCTAATCAACTTGGGGTGATTTAGTCTGAAGATGAATTCAGTTTAAAAATTATTCCATGAGTTGTTATTTTGGTGTAAAAATATCAGAGATAGTCCAATATGAGACAGAGTTATGACTGAAACAGTCTGTAAACTAGACATTGAGCCAATCGGTGATCTTTAAAGATGCACGTCCATCATTTATCAGCTTTATGAGCAAACAGATGGAGATCAAATATCAAGAATCATGAGTCAGAACCAAAGAACACATTCCAGTACTGGAAACAAGACGTCCTGATCTCAAACTGACTGATTTTTGTTTTGTCTGCAGACCTCGTTGCTTCATTTCAAACTGAATCAGGTCTTCGATCTGATCATCCGTCCTCCTCCGTCTCCATCTGGACTGTCGCCTCGTCTTTCAACTCCGCTCTACGAGATTAAGTTTCCTGACCTCTGTGTCTATTAGAGACTCAAACACTGATGATAATGAAGCCCTTTGAAGGACAGAACAACTGATGGATAGTACATGGAATGTGAATCATGTCATTTCAGTTTGGTCATAAAATCAAACACAAACATTTTGAACGCTTTTAAAATGTATTTATTTTCCTCCTCTGCTTCATTTATTAACTATTCAGATACATTTTCTAATGTTATGAATCATGAATTAATGTCTGAGTAATTCTTACAGAATTCAGTATTGTTGTGCGCACATTGTACCTTTATTATTTATATACCTTCAACCTTTATTTATACAGGTTAATCCCATTGAGCCTCGGGGACTCATTTACAAGAGACTCATTTACATGAACTTTGCCATTAGCCATCATCGAGACCATAAATTAAATTAAATAAAATAAATAAATAAATAAATATGACTTACATGTCCATGGCTCTGGGCTGCTGCTTCCAATGCCTGAGGCTTTGGCTTTGGACGTGGCTGATACACTGGCTGAGGCTGTGTATAATTAGCTTAGTTCCAAGCTCAGGCGAGGAATGGGCCAAGCATAGTCCAGTAGACAGCCGTCACTAAGACCATAGAGTCAACTATGAAGCCAGGTTTTTAGTAGCTTTATCCTTCATTATAATAATATAAATACATGAATATATGTAACTTAACAGACAGTGCATGTCTTGTCTTATCAAATGAACAAGAAATCAAACTAAATTAGGAAGGAGAGGTTATTAGCACGGGAAGCACGGTGGCACAACTGGTAGAGCTGTTGCCTCTCAGCGAGCAGGTCCTTGGTTCAAACCCCGGTCCAGGGGCCTTTCTGGGTGGAGTTTGCATGTTCTCTCCGTGCATGCGTGGGTTTTCTCCGGGTATTCCGGTTTCCTCCCACAGACCAAAAGCATGTATGTTAGGATGATTGGTAACTCTAAATTGTCCCTAGGTGTGGTTGTTTGTCTCGTTAGTCTCTATGTGGCCCTGTGATGGACTTGCGACCCGTCCAGGGTGTACCCCGCCCCTCGCACAGTGATTGCTGGATATGGGCACCGGCAACCCCCGTGAACCAAAATGGAATAAGCGGGTAAAGATAATGGATGGATGGATGGATGGATGGAGGTTATTAGCACATCACTTCCATCAGACATCTTACCATGTCCCTGACTGACGTATGTTGAGCTTCTCAGACAGTCTTACTTCTCTGCCCCATCTAATGCAAAATAGTTTATCTGTTTAGGACGGCACACACTGGGGTGCCTTCAGGGGCGGAGGGGTATGGCTATAGCTCTGGTGTGGCTGCTGTTGACTCTGGCTCTTCAACGGCTGCTTCACACCAGGCCGCACCGCAAAGCAAATTGTGCCGGGAATGATTGGCGGTTTTAGTGGTGCTGCGGCGGTCTTATATGTTGCGTCGAAACAGCTTGCTTTTACTGTCCACAGTGTAGGATTGTAGGGAACTGTGCTGCTGAGTGATGAGGGCAGGGGTCCACCTCTTATTGCCAGGATACGGTGCAATCCTGACCTCGTCTGCAGATCATATTTTTGCTGAAATAGGCAGAAAAAAGTTGAAATTTGTCATGATAGGAAGGTAAACCCATGCTGCTCCTTTGGTCTGAGCCCAACCGGGCCACAGGGGTAGAGACCCAGTCATCAGGCACTCGCCGACAAACCCCTTCCCCAGGCCTGGCTCCAGGGTGGGGCTTCAGTAACCCACATGTAGGCAAGGGACACTGAGTTTCTTGATATATGCAATCCATCAAAAGTCTTCTGAATAGCTCTTTGTCTGGCCTGTCACCTAGGACCAATCTGTCTTGGGACACCGTACCCAACAGTATAGGTCCTAGGATCATTCAGACACACAAACTCCTCCACCCCGATAAGGTGGTGATTAAAGGACTACAATTTTTTTTTACTACAAGTCTCAAATGTCTATGGCTCTGGGCTGTCGCTTCCAATGGCTGAGGCGTTGGCTTTGGCCATGGCAGATGCACTGGCTGAGGCTGTGGATAATCCACTTGGTTCCAACAGCAGATGAGGGTTACGCCAAGCTTAGGCCGGAGGACAGTCATCACTGATACCATACATAATAAATAAATAAATAACATATCCATGGCTTTGGGCTGTTGATTCCCATGTCTGAGGCTTGGCTTTGGGCGTATCAGATGCAATGGCTGAGACAGTGGATAATCAGCTTAGTTCCAAGCTCAGACAAAGATGAGACAAGGATTAGACCAAGATTAGGCCAGAGGACAGTCATCACTGGGACCATAAATCAAAAATGAATGACAGTAAATATGACTTACTAGTAAATGTCCATGGCTCTGTGCTGTCGCATATTAGGCCCCTCCAACGATATCACTCTTGATTTAAAAGAGCTCGTGATGTTTTTAGGCATAAAGGCTGGATTCGGTCTTAGATCGGCTGAGCTGCCATCAGCCTGAATTCTAAGACATGACGGAGCGACAGAGAGTGCAGATAAATCACTCACCCTCTTAGCGGATGTTAAAGCCAGCAGCAGGGCTGTTTTACGAGACAAGAATTTAATTGGAACCTGATTCAGTGGCTCAAATGGCGCTTTGATCAGGGCTCGCAGGACCAGCGTTAAATCCCACTGTGGAGCAAGTGGGCGTGAAACAGGCCTGCATCTCTGTACACCTTTTAAAAAATGCTTCATCAGCGGATGATTAAAAGCTGTTCTGTCTCCAAAACCTATGTGACAGGAAGAGATGGCTGCAGCGTACGTTTTAATCGTGCTGAATGCCAGATTTCTGTCCATCAGCTGCTGCAGAAAGGACAGCACGCCACCTAGTGGACATGAGGTGGCCTCTACACCTTTCTTCGTACACCAGCGCTGAAAAAAACTGTCCACTTTGATGTGTGCAGCACTGTGGTGGAGGCAGCACGTGAAATCTGGATCTTGCGCACCACATCTTGAGAGAGACCCATCCTCTCTAAAACGGATCTGCTCAGCAGCCAGACCCAAAGGTGCTGGCCTATTTCTGGGTAACTCCTGATCGCTCCTCCCACCTGGAGGAGAGCATCCTCCCTCCACGGCAGTTTTCACGGGCGTCCCGATAACAGGCATTGTAGAATTGAGAACCATGGGGTGTTCACGCGCTTGGGAACCACCAGGAGGTCTGTATGTCCTTCCTCCCTAACTCGGTTCAGAAACCATGATATCAGAGGGAGTGGGGAAAATGCATAAAGAAACATTTTGGGCCATGGGCTGTGAGCAAACGCGTCCACCCCTAGTGGTGGTTCGTCCCGCGGGTTCAGTGAGAACCATAGTTGACACTGAACGTTCTCTCGTGTGTCAAACAAGTCCGCGGCCGCTCTGCCAAATTTCTACCACGTCTGAGCCATCAGCTCGGGATAGAGGCTCCAGACCCCGTGACGCGGACCGCCCCTGGACATCACATCCGCCCTTCTGTTCAGAACACCGGGGATGTACACTGCTCTGATGGAGAGCAGATTTTGGTGTGCCCAACACAACAGCCATGTGTAACATTTGGGCTGAGCGCACACCCCCCCTGCCAGTTTATGTATGCTGCAGTCACTTGTTGACTGTGTGAATCAACACATGTTGATTCTGTAGCACAGAGGCAAAGTGTTGAATCACATTCAAAACCGTGCGACACTCCAAAACATTTATATGAGCTGCTGTGTGGGGTGGCCACAGCGCCCCCACAGCTCGAGACATGCATGTGCTTCCCCAGCCTGACAGGGACTCGTCTGTGAAGACTGACACGTGTGACGTAGGTCTGCTGACGAGAACTCCCTCCGACAGAACAAGAGGATTTCCCAGTGTCTCAGGTCGATTCTCACGGAGGGGGGCGCAGCGATCCACCATCTCTTCTGCCTCAATGGGTCCACACGCAAACGAGCGAACCATCTCTGGAGGCGTCGCACCGTGTGAGCAGAAAACATGTTCCTAATAACTTCATGATAGAAACAGCTGTTATCACTCAGCTGGCTTCATGTGGAGGAGTTGGTCATTTAGAGCTTCGGTTCCCATCTGAGATAAATGAGCCCTCGTAGTGACTGCATTTAGCTTCACTCCCAGATAACCGATCATCTGGGCTGGGTGAACTGAGCTCTTCCCCCCGTTATGTTGAAGCCCAGATTTTGCAGGTGTGACGTCAGCGCCTGAGTTGCACTGCTGCCACCTGTCTGGAAAACGGGTCAGCAGCAACAGATCGTCCAGATAAAGCAGAATTCTCATCCCTGCTCTGTGAAGCGGCTGCAGAGCCGACTCGACGCATTTAATTGGAATGTTGTCTCACAGTTGAAAATTGATAAATCTAAGATGGGTCTCATCCCTCCGGTCCGTTTTGGGACCAGGAAGTGACGAGAGTAGAACCCTATGTTTTCGTCTCCTTCTGGAACCTTGGAAATTACATTTTTTTTATCAGAATTTCCTGAACTTCTGCGTGGAGGAATGAGATTTGTTCTGGAGATGACAGAAACGTCTCTAAAGTTCCTCCAAACGGGGGGTTTGAGCTGTAACTGCAGCGTGTATCCCCTGCTGATAAGATGGTTCATACATCTGTCTAGAGCGCTTCTGTGCCGCGCTCAGGCTGCGGGCTCACATCCATGCTGATGTGAGCTGGTGTGCGCTGAGGGGAGGCGCACGCGCTCCTGGGCATGCGGAGCCGTGTAGATGAGGGCTGTCGCGGGGGCGCGGCACTTCTGTGCCATGCTCAGGCTGCGGGCTCACATCCATGTTGACGTGAGCTGGCGTGCACTGAGGGGAGGTGCGTGTACCCCTGGGCATGCGGAGCCGTGTAGGTGAGGGCTGTCGCGGGGGCGCGGCGCTTCTGTGCCACGCTCAGGCTGCGGGCTCACATCCGTGTTGACGTGAGCTGGCATGCACTGAGGGGAGGTGCGCGTGCCCCTGGGCATGCGGAGCCGTGTAGGTGAGGGCTGCCGCTGTCGTGGGGGCGCTCGCGTTTGTCACCGCTGCGGTCAGAGGAGGCAACGCACAGCTTGGGCTAAGAGCGAGGTTTCCCACTGGACTCGGTCTGCTGAAAACATACACTTTGGCTGCTGTGTCACTCACGCGCACATTTTGTGTGTTTTCTCGGGCTGCGGTGATTAAAAACCCTGTTTGGAGGACAACGGCTCACTTTGTGTGGAGGATGTGTGTCAGTTCTAATGATCTCACAGCAGCTTCTCCTCAGTCAGGCTGAAATCAGACACTTTAATTTCTGAATGATGAACTCACCGGGACGGCAGGAGGTTGGCATGGCGGGGACCCGGGCAGCCTTAAAGGTTGTGCCGGTCAAGCTGGACAACTTTCCTTCTTCGTTCTTCTGACAGTGCTATTAGTTTGCTGAAGAAGAAATGGGAGCCGATTACCCGCTCTTAACGTAATTTATACGGACCGGGTGGGGCCCACACAACAGGTGGGCGTGGACTAAATTTTTTCAGTGCGATGCTTTGCATGACGGGATAAACCCACCAGCGACAGCCTTAAATGGCGAAGCCTATACGAAATGGAACTAAACGTTTTAACATAAAGAAACCATCCAGAGGACCTCACAGACATAGTGTTAAATGAAGTGTTTTAGGTGCACTTCAGTGCCACACCAGATTATGTCTGAACTTTTCCCCTTTAGAATCAGAATAAACTTTATTATCATTGCACCGAGATACAACGAGAACATGTACGTACAGTCGTCCGAAAGATGAGCGGAGTGCATGAAGCTGCTACTATAGAAAGTGCGGCCTTCTTATTCTTATTCAGAATAATATTTTGCTTAGATGAGAAAAGGGAAGAAAACATGAGGAGAGACGGTATAAAAAAAAGATCTCTCACGCCGTGTCCTAGACAGGGTACGATTTGAGGCATAAAAAAAACCTACCACAGCAGAGCAACATAAACAGACGTTATACATTTACAGTGACTTGCGAAAGTATTCAGCCCCCTTGAACTTTTCAACCTTTTGCCACATTTCAGGCTTCAAACATAAAGATATAAAATTTTAATTTTTTGTGAAGAATCAACAAGAAGTGGGACACAATCGTGAAGTGGAATGAAATTTATTGGATGTGTCAAACTTTTTTAACAAACAAAAAACTGAAAAGTGGGGCGTGCAATATTATTGGGCCCCTTTACTTTCAGTGCAGCAAACTCACTCCAGAAGTTCAGTGAGGATCTATGAATGATCCAATGTTGTCCCAAGTGACTGATGATGATAAATAGAATCCACCTGTGTGTAATAATGTCTCCGTATAAATGCACCTGCTCTGTGATGGTCTCAGGGTTCTGTTCAATGCGCAGAGAGCATCATGAAGACCAAGGAACACACCAGGCAGGTTCGAGATACTGTTGTGGAGAAGTTTAAAGCTGGATTTGAATACAAAAAGATTTCCCAAGCTTTAAACATCCCAAGGAGCACTGTGCAAGCAATCATATTGAAAAGGAAGGAGTATCAGACCACTGCAAATCTACCAAGACCCGGCCGTCCCTCTAAACTTTCATCTCGAACAAGGAGAAGACTGATCAGAGATGCAGCCAAGAGGCCCATGATCACTCTGGATGAACTGCAGAGATCTACAGCTGAGGTGGGAGAGTCTGTCCATAGGACAACAATCAGTCATACACTGCACAAATCTGGCCTTTATGGAAGAGTGGCAAGAAAAAAGCCATTTCTCAAAGATATCCATGAAAAGTGTTGTTTAAAGTTTGCCACGTGCACCTGGCTTGTGGCAAACCTAAAAAAAAACTAAACTACTATATTTGCTATACAATTCAGTTTATTTATATAGCACCAAGTCACAACACAAGTCATCTCAGGGCACTGAACAGAAACATTCATCTGTATAAATAATAAGTTAACATTATCTAAGGAGCAGACTGCTTTTAATTTAACTCCATCACACACTCTCATCTTGAGCAAGCATGAAGGCAACAGTGGAAAGGAAAAACTCCCTCATGAGGAAGAAACTTTTACCAGAATCAGGACAAGCAGGCACCTGCTACGACCGGTTGTCTTTGAGAGGAATAAGAAGGATGAACAGATACACAATGGCAGGTCAAGAATCACATGTTAAGATAGAAATAGTAACAAATGAACCTATTCAATTTTAACAATTCATTTAAGGAAATGAGGGCAATTTGTCCTCCATTAGTCTAAGTCTATAGCAGCATAACAAGCCAATTATAGGATTTATCAAAAAGGAAAGTCTTAACTTAAATCCTCATAGATGCATACTTATAAAATATCCATTTTATTTTAAATGTCTCTGTATAATAAGAGAGGAAGGTAAACATGAAGAGAGTAAAGAAAGAAAATCGGAGTTAAATTCAAAGCAGTTTGCTCCTCAGATAAACAATGTTAAATTATTTTATATATGAACGTTTTTGTTGAGATGACTTCGACGCTACGAGATTTACGGCGTCTTATCGGAAATCTCGCGAAAACATAGACGAGAACTCGTAGAACAGCTCGACTGTGATTGGCTGTTCAGAGGGTAAACACGGAACTATTGTTTGGTGATTTCTGTCCAAACGTGAAGATTGACAGTAAACTACTAATCTTGCGCAAGTTTCTGGGCAGTTCAAGGTAAGAAGGTGCAATGCAAACAAAAACAGGCGGTAGTATTTGTAGTTAAGAGACAAAGTACGTTTATTTTTTTTAGCTCATTAGCCGCACCGTTACAGCGACTTTCCTGGGATTTCACCGGATGAGAAACCCACATTCTAATAAAAACGTCGGTGCTTTTCGTGTTTGGGTTTGTTTTTAAATGTGTTCTTTACTCTAATAAAAGACGTATGTTCCTGGGCTGGTAAATGATGCTCATCTAAGCTAATACGCCGCTCTTTAATCCAAATAACACATAAAATAAAAATGCTTTGACAGTCATTATAGCTTAAGCACTAAAATTGTGTAAATCCAAATATTGTTCAGAAAATAAATCCCACCAGAATTACTCATTGACCTCTTTGCTTGTTCTTTTGTTTTCCAGCCTTACATGTAGTATTTGGCATTAAAATATAAAACCATATATACTGAAAAACATTTGCACAGAGCACATATATTAACAAGTTTTTACTTTTGATCTTTCTTTAGTGATGTCGATCATCCACACTCGGGGCGAATGGGGTGGCCGCGCAGCAGGCCACCTCCAATGTCCCCACTGTGGGCACTCAGCGAGAAGCCACGCCCAGCAGCTGACACACATGGCGACGTCTCACCCCACCTGCCTGGACGACGTGGCCGTGGGTCGCCTCGGCAAAGTCCTGATGTACCAGAGCAGCGGGCGGCTCTTCCACTGCTACATCTGCTTCGATACCAGCAGAGACTTCAGCAAAATCTTCAAGCACATCATCACCAAACACTGCATGGCCAAGAGGGAGGAGGTGGAAGAAGGGGGAGTTGTAGGAGAGGGCAGGAGCGAGAAGGGTGAAGAGGCGGAGGAGGTAGAGAAGGATGCTCCCGACAAAAGAAGCAGTG